CATTCTCAGACTGTGGTCACCCAGTTTCTCTTATTTTAACATCTTGCAATGGTGTGGTATGTTTGTTATAATTCACAAATAATAATTATTATAATTGACAAATATAATTGACAAATAATCATTATTATTATAATTGACAAATAATAATAGTTATTAACTAAAATCTATAACCTACATTAGGCTTCAGCTTTGCATTATGCACTCTAAGAGTTCTGAGAAACGCTTAGTGTCTCATATCCACCATTATGTGTCCTACAGAATAGTTCTACCATAAAAATCCTGTGTGCCACCAATTTATCCCTTCTCTCCAACACTCATTTTAAGAAAGGAAACTCCGTTGATGGAGGAACTGCTGAGGGATTCACTGCATCAGGTGTTTTAAGCTGCTCCATGATATTCACACTAAGTTGTTCACATACAGTGCCATTTCTATTTCCGGTTATGTGGTGCGTGTTTTCCTAGTTTGCTGTTTTTGTTGTTGGGATAAATCCCATAATGTAATGGTAAATTTATTCTCTTTCTCTTCAAAATCTGCAGTTCTGTTGGAGGTCCTCCTTACCACTGATGGCTTCTTAGTGCGTGAGAGAGTCCCCAGCCTGGCAGTGCTGCTCCGTGCACAGGTCCCCTCAGCCCTGGGCCCCACACTGAGGTTCCTGAAGACAACGCCCCGGACTGAGTCAGACCCTGCCTTGGGACGTGGTTAGAGAGCCCACCCCAGACAGAGCTCTGTGGATTCCCAGTGGGCCCTCTGCTGGAGGAAGGAGGCCCTGCTACTCACTCCCAAAGAAAGCAGCAATCATTTCATTGCGGAGGGAAGAAAATGCTCCCCAGGTCAGGGGAAGGGACTCTCTGCATCCCTGGAGGGACCGAAAAAAGCAGGGTCCAGGTTACCCTTATCCCCATGACCATAATTCTGTGTCTCTTGTTGGTTTTAGGGGTGGATTCTTAGTCTGTGGTGACCCAGGAGCCATCACTCTTAGGGCCTCCTGGAGGGACGGTCACACTCACCTGTGCCCTGAGCTTTGGCTCAGTCTCTACCAGTCACTACCCCAACTGGTACCAGCAGACCCCAGGCCAGGTTCCACATATACTCATCTGCAGCCCAAACACCTGCCCTTCTGGGGTCCCTGGGCGCTTCTCTGGCTCCATCCTTGGGAACAAAGCTGCCCTCACCGTCACGGGAACTCAGTAGATGATGACTCTGATCATTACTATGTGCCATACATGGGTAGTGGCAATTCCACAGTGATTTAAACCCATAAGGAGGTACAACTAAAACCGCTTTACATACTCAGAACGATTCAGCCCTTAGAGGCAGGAGAGAAGGTGAGAGGGTGGGAATGTCAACACCATGAGCAGGGAGCCTCCTTGCCCCAGTGTCCTGTGCAAGGGTTCACTGCCAGGTGCCTTATCCAGTCTCTCCCAGGGTGTGTCCATCTCCCCAGTGTGATGCTTCCGTGAATACATAAACTCACAGTGAGTCACAGAGACGCCCATACTCCAGAAAGACTCTTCTTATTCAGAGAGAGTCAACAGACATATGCTCATTCATTAATTTGTCCATGGAGACCAATTTGTATTTTATTTATCACTGAAGTAAGGGCCTTGCTGAGTGCCTTGTTAAAAATGCAATTTGCCAATCTAGACCTACTGAATCAGAAACTTGTGTTGGTGCCTAATAATTTGTATTTAACAAGATGTACATGAGACTTTTGTTAGCATTAATATTTGGGAAGAGCCTACTTTTATTATTATGAAATTATTCCTGGGAGTCTCTGTTTAAAATGATCTCAGGTAATATTCCATGATCCCACTCTCCTAAATTGCCATTCAAAACCTCCAGAATGCTCAGAAACAGACTTAAAATCTCAAGCCATGGCCAAATTTATAACTTTATTTCTGCAGACAGAGATGGGAGGAATTTCCAAAACCATACATTCTTAGGTGCCAGGTGTGGTGACTCATGCCTATAATACCTAATACTTTGGGAGGCTAAGGCATGATGAGGATTTCTTGAGGCCAGGAGTTTGAGACCATCCTCCTCCACATAGTGAGTGAGATTCCATCACTACAAAAAAAAAAAAGACATAAGCCCCTTTAGGAATTTCCAAAACCGTAAGTTTTCTTAGGGTATATTTAGTAGCTCATATGAATATTTCTGTTATTGAAGACCATCCCCTGTAGGATTGGCTCCAGAATCTCTTCTCCCTCTCACTGAGCTGGCCTACTTGCAGCTCTAGTTCTTAGGATCTTTGTAAGACATAGGGATCAGCCCTCCCCATCCTCTACCTCTTATCATAGATTATCCCAGAAGATCCCCTCAGAACATATATGTACTTGTCCTGAACAGTGTCTCTTAACATGACACTGGCAAGATGAGGAGGACTGAGCGGTGACAAAGCCTTGGAGCCACCTGAGGATGACCTGTGACTGCACGGGTGAGCTTTGCTGAGCCGACCCCAGGCTCCCTCCCTGCTCCCCTCCCCTGGGTCTGTCTCTTGGCCACCCTAGATCCAGGAGCTGCCTCCACTTGACCTGGGTTCTGGGGTCACCTCAGAAACCCCCTCAGTGAGATAAAGGAGGTGCTGTGGGGGATCTAACACACGTGAGGGCAAATTTCAAGACTGTCCTGCACAGGAAGCCCTGTGAAAAGAAACAAACCAGCCCTACCTGTGTGTGGCACCTGGGTTTTTAGTCCTGACTCCCTGGTCTCATGGCTATGTTGAGATTGCAGATGTGTGGTTTATTATGCAGGTCAGGAGAAATCCATGACAGTTTATGAGGACAAAGAAGACAACTACCCTATGTACTTATCACACAATTAAGACACTCGCCTACTTTGGGAGGCTGAGGCGGGTGAATCACCTGAGATCAGGAGTTCAAGACCAGCTTTGCCAACATGATGAAACTCCATCTCTACTAAAAATACAAAAAATTAGCCAGGCATTGTGGCGGGTTCCTGTAATCCCAGCTACTTGGGAGGCTGAGGCAGGAGAATCGCTTGAACCCGGGAGGCAGAGGTTGCAGTGAGCCGAGATTGTGCCACTGCACTCCAGCCTGGGCAACAAGAGTGAAAGTCTGTCTCAAAAAAAGAAAAGAAAAGAAAAGAAAAGAAGACACTGGCCTTTGATTTGTCAGTGCCCTGGAAGAATTCTGGAATGAGAGGGTCAAGGTTACTTAGAAGATGTTGGAGCTTAAGCATGAGGATCAGTGGAGAAAACACCTCATGGTGACCCAGAGAGATAAAGGTGGGATCAGTTGAGAGGGTGGGAGATGTGGATTTCTTAAGGTCATTTTGTTGGCTGCTTTCTCATTCCATAAGATTCAAATCGAAATACACACATGATTTTCCTAATAAATGCTTATGAGGCTTCCCCTTAAGTTTAATTATCTTTCTTGCCTTAATGAAAATAAAATAGAAAGTAAGAAATAAAATATACTTCTATGATTTCTTACAGATTGTGTATTTTTAGACTAGAGGAAATCATTACTTCTAAAGGAAAACTACTAGGATTGTTTGCATTTTAATCTGGGATCCTGCATGATGGCTACAGATACAGCTACTGTGCAAGATTTTAACCTGGAATTTCTGCCAATTCAGTAATAGAGGCAATAAAAATGGATACAAATATTATAAATATGGAATTCATTTATTTTAAAAGTTTTGAATGCTATGAATATCTATCAAGAATAAAATACATTGTACTAAAAATTTATTAGAATGAATTTTAAAATTGCCAAATTTGCAACTAATGAAATAAAATATATTATAAAGAGTTCAAAATCCTTATTTTTTGATCTCAGTATACAAAAATAAACATTGAATTTATCTATTAGAAAATAACTAGCAAATTTAGTAAATGATATAAAAGAAAATATGAACATATGGTACAACAGGCCAGGTGTGGTGGCTCACGCCTGTGAATCTCAGCACTTTGGGAGGCTGAGGCGGGCAGATCACCTGAGGTCAGGAGTTTGAGACCAGCCTGTCCAACCTGGTGAAACCCCGTCTCTACTAAAAATACAAAAATTAGCTGGGTGTGATGGTTAGCGCCTTTAATCCCAGCTACTTGGGAGGCTGAGAATCACCTGAACCTGGGAGGCAGAGTTTGCAGTGAGCTGAGATTATGCCACTGCACTCCAGCATGGGCAACACAGCAAGATTCTTCTAAAAAAAAAAATTGGTAAAACATTTCCTTATCTGCAGACATCAAATAAAAAAAATTCAGGCCAGATGCAGTGGCTCACACCTGTAATCCCAATTACTTTGGGAGGTCTAGGTGGTAGGATCTCTTGATCCCAGGAGTTCAATATCACCCAGGGCAACATAGTGAGACCTAATCTCCAGTGAAAATTATCAAATTAAATTGAAATTTAACTAAAATTATTTAATTAAAGATAATTAAAATTAGCCAGGCATGGTGGCCTGTGCCTGTAGTCTCAGCTACTAAGGAGGCTGAGATTAGAGGATTCCTCAAGACTGGAAGGTCGAGGCTTCCTGCTGTGAGCTGGGATCCTGCCACTGCACCACAGCATGGGCAACAGAGTGAGACCCTGTCTCAAAAAACAAAACAAAACAAAAATTCAACAGCAAGTAGATTGGTGATGTAAATGCTTTGTTATTATTTTTATCATTGTTTGCTTGTGTAGGTTTTCCTCTGAGAAGGAGGATGGAGGGTGTTAGCAGAGGAGATAGCGCAGTCCCCTTAGATGTCAGAAACAGGGATCTATGGTAAATGGAAAATGCCAGTCACTTGTCACCATGCAGGGGCAGCTGTGCCCTCCCTGTGTCAGGCTCTGTGCCAGCAGTGATGGGCCCCATGTGCCTCTTTCAGGGTCCAGAATGCCATCTGTGCTACCCTCCGAACTCCCCAGGGCTGGGCATTGGTGCCTGTGTTGCTGATGAGGACTCAGCACTGTGCCTTCCCTGAGAGGGGCAGAGTCTGTAGAGGGTTCTAGTATCTGCTTGCTGTCTGACCCTCCCATGGGACAAACTCTGCATGTCACCCACCAGCCTCCTGTGTCTAAAAAATAAACGTCAGACTGTAGCTGTCTTCTCAGGTGGAACAGAGATCACCAGGAGGAGAGCACACTTGTATAAACAGCTCCTCCTCTATCAGAGCAATGAAGATAAAAAGAGGCCTGAACCAGCAGCCTTCACTACAGGCAAGAGTAGTGTGTCCACTGTGACCTGGACAACTCTCTTCTTCATGCTCCACCATTATTGCACAGGTGAGGACAGAATTTGGGTGTCCAGGGTGAGCTCCTTAGCTTGTCAGCCCCTCTGGCTCAGGCCCCCAAGGGACTTCACCCTGGCCCTGGCCCTGCCCCAGCCCCCAAGTAAGTCTGCATCTGCAGTTCTCTCTCCCAGCCTATACTGACTCAGCGCCCTCCCTCGCTGCATTGCCTGGAGCATCAGCCACACTCACCTGCACCCTGAGCAGTGGCTTCAGTGTTAGTGACTGCAATGTACTGCTTCCAGCAGAGGCCAGGGAGTCCTCCCAGGTTTCTCCTGAGATACTCATCAAACTCTAGTAAGCAGCAGGGCTCTGGGGTCCCAGCTGCTTCTCTGCCTCCAGAGATGCCTCAGCCAATGCAGGGATTCTGCACATCCTTGGGCTGCAGCCTGAGGACAAGGCTTACTATTATTGTTGTAGCAGCTTGCAGGCTTACACAGTGCCCCAGACTCATGGGGAAGTGAGGCGCTAACCTACTCTCTTCTCCCCTTGCCTGGTGCAGTCACCCCACTAGTGGTTCTGACCAAGTCCAGCTCAGGGGGTGACTTAGGTTGTCAGATCTTTAAATAGCAACTGATTTTCCCAATGGATCTGACAATGTGGTATCATTTTCTTCAGTTTAACTTTAGATCAGTTCACTTCTCGTTTCTTCTCACTCTGTTCATGTTTATTCAGGCAGAAATGTTTTGCTTAAAGCTAAAAATCTCCCAGTGGAGACTTTGGAGGAGGCCCAAAGAGGCTGGTTCAGGCCATGCCCAGTTCAGGGTCCAGGGGTGATACAGAGATGCTTCTGCTCAGATGGCGTCAGTCTGGGCTCTGGATACAGCACCAGCGTGCAGGAGAGAGCACTATTTTCTATACTAGCGATGAACCATCACTCATTTTAAAATAATCTTCCTGGAGGAACAGAAAACCATGGGGTGAGGCTGCTCTAAGAGTCACAGAAATAAACTCGGCTGGAGGGCAGAGAGGGGAGCCAGACGCCAGTGAACCCAGTCCTTAGTGCTGCTCATGACCTTGAGCCCCTGACCATGTAAGATTGCCAAGGTGTGGGCAAATCTAAGACATTTTAGGAGGGAAAATAATACAACCATCCTCATTTCTTCATGACTCAGTGAAGGCACCCGCCTTGGCTCTGTGAGTTTCCTGGAAGATGCTGGAAATGGGGGAGTATGTCATGTCGCCTAGCAGGTGTTGGGACTCGAACATGAAGATTAGTGATAAAAATAAATTAACAGAGGCAAAATAATAAAATTTAATGTTTATAATAAGTTAAGAATAATATAATACCTTTATAATAAAGATAGGATAAGTCATAAGGGTGGAAACAGTGGATTTTTCTCAAGGCCTTTTTTTCTGTTTTTTTTTTGTTGTTGTTTGTTTGTTTGTTTTTTTGAGATGGAGTTTTACTCTGTCGCTCAGGCTGGAGTGCAGCAGTATGATCTTGGCTCACGGCAACCTCCACCTCCTGGGTTCAAGTGATTCTCCTACCTCAGCCTCCCAAGTAGCTGGGATTACAGGCACCCACCACCACACCTGGCTAATTTTTGTATTTTAATAGAGACGGGGTTTCACCCTGTTGGCCAGGCTGGTCTTGAACTCCTGACCTCAGATAGTCTGCCCACTTCAGCTTCCCAAAGTGTTGGGATTACAGGTGTGAGCCACTGCACCTGGTCACATCAAGGCCTTTTTATTAACCCTTTCCCATTGCAATTTTTTCCTTTTTTTCTTTTTAGAGTTGGGATCTCGCTTCATTGCTTAGGCTGGAGAGCTGTAGGGGGACGGGGTCACTGAAGCATTGACCTCAACTGCAAAATATTCAAATAGAAAAATATTTAATAAGCATTTCAATCAGTGCTCAAGAAACTTCCTATTAATTTCACTGTCTTCATAAAAATAAACATAAAATTAATGAAATAGATTATATTTCCCTAGTGTCTTAATGACATTGCATCTTTAACCTAGATGGGGTGCCCCACTCCTGGATCAGCCTCCTGGGTCAGCCCCACCTAGCCAGGCCCTGCACTCTGTCCCCTGCCTTATACCTTCATCTACACGCATGTGGGCCACTGGAAAGGAGGAGTCCAGTAGCCTTTTTTTTTTTCTGCAGTCATGCTCAAATGGGGGTAAGGAGGCATCCAGAACCATGAGCCATTTAAAAAAAATAAGGAATAGAAAAAAGCATTAGCCCTCAAGGTGAGATACTAGGACTGTTTCTATGTTAATTTAGAACCACCCATGATGGCTGCTGACGGAGCTATTAAGAGCAAATTTAACCTGGAATGTTGTCAAATCACAGTAGAAATAACAAAAAGAATAAGGAAATGAAGATTCATTTGTTTAATTTAAGAATGTCACATATTCTACCTAGAAGATAAGAGATTTTACTACAAATTCATTAGAAGTTTCCTTCATGGCATGGACCACTGATGTCCCTGCACCTAACCTCTGCCTTCTTGGGTGGTGTGATGTTACAGGTTGGGGCAGCATCTGTGGCCAACACTCCTTGGGGTGGAAGAGGGGAGCAGAGGCGGGAGCCTGAGCCTGGGGACTTGGCTGGGCCAAGGATGACCTTACCAAGGCTTCCTGCTTGTCAGCCATCCTCACATGCGGGTGGTCTGGCAGTGACACTGTGAAACCCAGTCACTGGAGTTCCCCCTGCATGGCCCAGTGGTAACTGTGGTGGCCATTGGCATCTGGGGCAGATAAAGCCATGTGAGCTGGCAGACTGTGGCCACCATTCCAATGATGGTTTCCACCCCTCACAGGTGGAAGGTGGCCAAAACCACCCAGTAGGAGTTCTAGCAGCAGTAGTATCATTAAGGGGAGCTCCTGGAGAAGAACTTCAAACAGCTGCTCTGTAGCTATAGTGAACTTATTGAACCACATCATGTTCACAGCAAAAATGTCAGCCATACTGTGGGAGTTGAGGTTCGCCTAGAGATGAGAGACTATGAGGAAGAGGTTCTCTCAGGGGCAGATGCTGTCACAGCTGCAGGAGGTGATGGTACAATGCTTCTGCTGTGAGTAAAGTCTTGGACAAACTTAAATAAGTTATGAGGCTAAACCCTGATCCAGAACTATCTGAGAGTCACTTATGTTGACATGTTCAATATACACATTCCTTCCCAGAAGCCTTACCAAAGGTATATAGTAGTGAGTTCAGTATGGAGACAGCAAATCAATTTATACCCTAAATGGATTGGAATAAACCCCAGTCCTGAGGGACTTTATGAACAGCAACTACATTTGAATTAACAGAGTAGAGCACTTGACATAGAAGAATTCATGGCGAAAGAACTGAGGCTTCAGGACTCTGGCATTTGCCAATGAGAGCACTACCTGAAGTCTTATTGGGAAACATCCATCCAGAATGTCCTATACTGGGACTGTGGCAATGGAAAACTTAAGAAATAGACCCACTCTAAAGGATTGGCTTCCCACTATCAGATTTCAGCTTATGATGATCCATGGAAAAAATAGAAGAGTGGAGGGCTCAATTTGTAAACTGGAACAGGAGCAAAGGCTGTCCATTCAATATTAACAGGGTTGAAGGTCTGGCTTTGGAGCATGTTCAAAATATTGCAAAATGACAAGGACATTGGAGTCTTGCATTGAACTGAGAATTGATAGAAAAAATAGCAAATAAATATAACAAATCACTGCTCTACAGTCCAAAAACCAAAAATACTTTCCTGTATTCAAGAACCAAAAGAGTTTTCTCAAGCACCTATGAGCATTGTTTCTCCTGAGAGATTTGTGTTTATTCTCATTGTTGGGACACCTGTATGGTGAATGGGGGAACGTCTTTTGAGCCAAATGTTGGAGCCATTGCTTCAGTGATGATTAATAAAGATGATCTTGGAACTATGCTTCCAGAACAGTAACGATGTCTTCAGATGGCAAATTTTGATTAGTGGAAAAAAAGTTTTACTGCAGAAACAGACTACCAGTGCCAGGTGTGATGGCTCACGCCTATAATCTGAGCACTTTGGGAGGCCAAGGTGGGAGGATAGCTTGAGCCCAGGAGTTTGAGACCAACCTGGGGAACATGGTGAGACCTCATCTTAACCAGATATGGTGGTATGTGCCTGTGGTCCCAGCTACTTGGGAAGCTGAGATGTGAGGATCAGTTGAGTTCAGGGAGTTGAGACCTTGGTAAGCCAAAGTCATACCACTAAACTCCCACCTGGGTGACAGAGTAAAACTTTGCCTCAAATAAAATAAAATAAAATAAAATAAAATAAAATAAAATAAAAACAGATCAGTCATTTACTACATTTTTTGGTTATGGTTGAGACAGGTTGCCTCTGGGCTCGAAGGTGACAGGGAAAGTGAGATTTACATTATCCTTCCGTGGGAACCTGACAAAAAAAAAAAAAAGATGTTCACTGTATAAGAAAATTAATGGACTCAACTGATTAAAATCGATGCCTGTAGCTGGGTGCGGTGGCTCCCAGCACTTTGGGAGGCCGAGGTGGGTGGATCACGAGGTTAGGAGATCAAGACCTTCCTGGCTAACATGGTGAATCCTCATCTCTGCTAAAAATACAAAAAATTAGCAGGGCGTGGTGGCATGTGCTTGTGATCTCAGCTACTCGGGAGGCTGAGGCAGGAGAATCGCTTGAACCTGGGAGGCAGAGGGCCAAGATTATGCTATTGCACTCCAATCTGGCCACAGAGTGAGACTCTGTCTCAAAAAAAAAGTAAAAATTGATACTTGTGAAATTTCTATATTGTATAGAATTGGTAACTGAAAGTGCTGATACATTTTTAATTTAGAGAGGCAGTCTTAAATAAATGATGAATTGTTTAGGACTTCAAATTTAACTGTAAAAGTGCTTTTTCCTTCCCTTTACTCCTAACTTTGTGGAACTGTCAGACAAAACACATCATTTCATTAGTGCATTTTTTTTAGTACCTAAAAATGGAGATTTTGAAATATGTTGATGATGATGGAGAATGTTGTAAATCTTGATATTGCCCTAATTGAAATAGGTACTTTTTATTTTTATTTCCCCCCCTCCTCCGAGATGGAGTCTTGCTCTGTCACCCAGGCTGGAGTGCAGTGGCACGATCTCGGCTCACTGCAAGCTCTGCCTCCTGGGTTCACATGATTCTCCTGCCTCAGCCTCTAGAGTAGCTGGGACTACAGGCGCCCGCCACCATTTTTTTTTTTGTATTTTTAGTAGAGACGGGGTTTCACCGTGTTAGCCAGGGTGGTCTCGATCTCACGACCTCACGATCTGCCCACCTCGGCCTTCCAAAGTGCTGGGAGTACAGGTGTGAGCCACCGCGCCCAGCTGAAATAGGTAAGTTTTATATGTGCTAAGAAGTCTCTAATTTAAGAACACAATAATGTTTTATGCCTTTTTTCATTTCAAAATGTTAATCATTTAAAAATTATAGATGAATGTTTTCATTAGACTTTAGTTCTGGTTAATTTCAACAATGCTATGTGAAATACATATATCTGAAAACAATCAATGCTGTTCCAAATGTATTAATTATGTAATAGCTGTTTTAAGTCAAACAATTTTTAAAAATGACTTGAATCTAATAGGTTTCTTCTATTTCTAAAACTCTCTAACATAGATTCAAGGATAAAAATGATAAATTGATTAGACATTTTATATTATGAGTTCAGTAACATTGTTAAAAAGTATATTCATCTAAGGTTAGGAGTATTGTCAGAAAGAGAATGCGTTCTGTAGTAAATTTGTGAAACAATAGTTTTGGAATTGCCTTACTTAGCGTTCCGGTGGTTTAAAATTAGTTTATATTGTAAATATCACTTACTAGGCTTGTAGAACAAAGTGTCACTGTTTTTCTTTTTTTCCCATAATGCAAATTTATTTATTTTTGGAGGAAATTACTTTTGTTGCACTCTTCACCTACTTACGATAAGTAATCCTAGAATGTTTGCAAAAAGCTCCTTTTGTTGTGTAATGAAACAGTTGCTATTCTGGTTCCATTTATTTAAGGTCACTTTTTTTTGACTTGCTGGAGAAAATATTTATTCAATTATTGACAAATATTTATTGAATACCTGCTCTGTGCCATGTATTCCTGTGTCAGGTGTTGGCTATATGTTGGTGAATAAAACAGACTTTCTCCTTATAGAAATTGTGTCTAGTGAGCACAGGAGTAAATTCTGTGAGCGTTATGATGGAGAGTCAAACTGAGCACTTTTAGATTTGCCAACATGTAACATGTTGTTCTTACCAATTTCTTTTATTAAAATAAATGTTAGTGTACAAAGGTAATCTAGGTTTTAATGTATATTCATAAATATCTATTTTTATGAGTTAAGAGTATCTGCACAGACACAGCAAATAATTTATAGTAGGCATCAGATATAAATAGTATAAAAGTAAATGAAATGTTTTCCAGAGCTTGATCTAGTTTCTGATTTGATATTTTAATAACATAGGTAAAATATCACTTTATAAAGAAGAATTGTTCCACACTATAGAAACTTCCCTAACAGCTTTAAAATAACTTCTTGAAAAAATACCAACACCATCTTTAATCTGAAGGAAATCTGATTGTCCAAATACATCTGTTAAGATGTAACATATGAATAGGTAACACTGTGTAAGATTACTTATAAGACATATTTTAAAGATTTTAAAAATACTTAGTGTGCTCACTTTGTGCTATACCTTCTAAAATTTCTGCTGTGTGGTGTTTGACTTACTTGTAAGAAATGAGAGGTGGCAGGGCGCAGGTGCAGACTGTGGTTGGGTGGGTCAGTTGACCCTAGGGTCCTTTGAACTGATTTAGGCTACTCACCTTGGTCTCAGAATCACCACTGTCGTGGCCAGTCACTTGCAAGGGATCCAGCAGCTAATGCAGGTTGAGAAGCAGGCCGTTAAGAAGGTGTCAGAGGCCTGCAGCCAAAAGAACCAGAGGCTGAAGCAGGCCAAAGTGGCAGTTCGGGTTGAAATTGAATAGTGCCACCTGCAGAGGGATAAAGAGTTCAAGGCCAAGGAAGCTGTGGCACTGGGATCCCAAGGCAGCTGCAGCACAGAAGTGGAGGAGACCCAGGATAAAACGACCATCCTCCAGACCTACTTTCAGCAGAACAGGGAAGAGGGCATGGATAACTTCTTGGCCTTTGTCTGCGACAACCAGCCAGAAATCCATGAAAACTACGGCATAAACAGATAGGAGGAGAAACGCCTGTTCTGTGGACTGGCATTTTAGCTGCCCTCATGGAATAAGAAACTTTAGCAAAGCCCTAGTTATATTCTAACAAGAAGGCATTTAATTATTTCTGTACGTTGTATAGTTGGTCCCTTCACTTTATGGAGAGCAGCAAATCCAGTTTCTTGTGCAGACGTAGAACTAAATGTGCCATCCTTTTACTTCATGTTTCTTAGGAATTTAATGGTTATGTGCTGTCTGTTTTCCTATGCCTTTTGGCTCAAGTAACATATAGCAATGTTGAATTTTTCTTTTTTAGATCTAGTAAAACAACAACAAAAAAACAATCTTTGAAGAAAGGAAGGGATTAAATAGTTTTCCTCTAATGCTTTCTTGAAGGTCAATGAAAAAGTGGTAAATAGTTATTTGTAACCTGTGTGAAGCAGCAGCCAGCCCTAAGGAGTCCATTCCTTCCAAGGCTTAGAACAGTGACTACTGCTGTAATTGCCTGGGCTGCTGTAAGTTTCTCTTAATCAAAATTGCTTTTTGATAGAATTCATGTTATTACTTGTTGTACTAAAAATAATTTGAAAGTAAAGACTCTTTGTTGCGCAAGAAAGGAAGAAATGAGAGGCAAAGAATGTTAAAATAGAAAAAATGTTTTTATGAGAGAGTTAACCTTTTAATGGCAACTGTATGTCAATTAAATTAAACCATCACTTAAAATATTCATTAGAATGAATAATAAAATAACCCAGTTCATAATTAATAAAATACAATATATATATATATTTAAAATTCATATTAGAATGTCTGTCAGTGTTTGAACATTAATATTTATAGTTTGTACATTTTCACCTTCCAAGGTTTAAAATGAGAACCACACTACATCACAAAAGGTAACTAATAAACATTTCACAATTGTGTGAATATCCACTCACTCTCACTCTCTTACCACTGCTAATTTTTTCCTCGCTGTAATTTACAATGAAGTGTGCCCCACTCATATCTCAGCAAAGTTTCAGACATTATGGATTCATCACATGTATATTCTTTGAAAATATTCTTCTGTCAAAAGACTTGATAACCATTATGTACATTACAAAAACAAATTTTACATAAATTATATGGCATACTTTTATCTTTGTAATTGAAATGACACAAACTAATTTACACCAAAATTGGCGATAAGACCCAGTTTGAATGTTTATTTCCTTTAAACTCCTTACCCTTTTTCTACCATGAGTCCTTAATGTAAATGTTATATACTCCAAACTATTTAACATTAGTAAGCACCCTATATAAGTAAGAATTCTGTTCAAAAGTAAAACATAGCTGTAGTAATGTGTTTCGGGAAGTCAGGGATCCCGAATGGAGGGACTGGCTGAAGCCACGGCAGAGGAATGTAAATTGTGAAGATTTCATGGACATTTATTAGTTCCCCAAATTAATACTTTTATAATTTCTTGTACCTCTCTTTAGTGCAATCTCTGAACATAAATTGTGAAGATTTCATGGACACTTATCACTTCCCCAGTCAATACCCTTGTGATTTTCTATGCCTGTCTTTAATCTCTTAATCACATCATCTTCTTTGTAAGCTGAGGAGGATATATGTCGCCTCAGGACCCTGTGATGATTGTGTTAACTGCACAAATTGTTTGTAGAGCATGTGTGTTTGAACAATATGAAATCTGGGCATCTTGAAAAAAGAACAGGATAACAGCGATGTTCAGGGAACAAGGGAGATGGCCTTGGAGTCTGACCGCTGGTGAGCCAGATGGAACAGAGCCATATTTCTCTTCTTTCAAAGGCAAATAGGAGAAATATCACTGAATTCTTTCTCTCAGCAAGGAATATCCCTGAGAAAGAGGGATGCACCCTGAGGGTAGGTCTATAGACGGCCCCCTTAAGGTAGTCTCCTGTAGTGCTCCCAGGCTTATTAGGACAAGAAAATTCCCACCTGATAAATTTTGGTCAGACAGGTTGTCTGCTCTCAAACTCTGTCTCCTGATAAGATGTTATCAATGACAATGCACACCCAAAGCTTCATTAGCAATTCTAATTTTGCCCCATCCGGTGGTCCTGTGATCTTGCCCTGCCTCCATTTGCTTTGTGATATTTTATTACCTTGTGAAGTATGTGATCTCTGTGACCCACACCCTATTCCTGCACTCCCTCCCCTTTCGAAAATCGTTAATAAAAACTTGCTGGTTTTATGGCTAGGGGAGCATCATGGAACCTGCTGACATATGATGTCTCCCCTGGACACCCAGCTTTAAATTTCTCTCTCTTGTGCTCTTTCCCTTTATTTCTCAAACCAGCTGAGATGCCTAGGAAATAGAAAAGAACCTATGATAAATATTAGGGGTAGGGTTTCCCCCAATAGTAATGTTTCCAATAGAAATAAAATTCCTGCATTTCTGTGGTTATAAATTGGTATGACAAATACTGTAGAGGAAAACATTCTTATGATACAAAATTTAAAGTATCAGAAAGAATTTTTTAAATTAAAACATCCACATGAACAAATAAGACATTCAAAATGAAACTACTGAAAGAGAGAGAGAGAGAGAGAGAAATTCTAATTACCTGCCAGCCCCCAAGTTCTCCTTTTGCCAGTGTGACAATTGGAGAAAGTTCTACACTGTGCAGAAATCAGGGGACCACACAGGCTCTGGCACAATACAAGCTGGGCTCAGAAAAGGAGTGAGGGCATGCCAGGATCCAGAAGGAAATTGACTTCAGAATTTTGCATCCTCTCTCCTTGACACAAGATATAAGTTTTCTGAGCAGAGCCGGGTGTTAAGTAGGCAGACAATGTGGGTGACAGAGAGGCATCAAGATAGCTACAGGGGGGCTGCCAGTGTCCCCGGCAGAGTCACACACACAGCCAGCAGCCACAAGTGGCTTCCAGTCAATATTTTAGAGTTTCATGGTGAGTATCAGGGTCTGAGGTCACTACGCTGCAGGTATCCCTGGGGGCCCATTGCCCTTGCATTAAGATTTCCCACATAATTTAAGAGGGAGTAACAGGAGCTGCCAGTCGTGAGCGCCTCATACTAGCTTAGGCTTCTGTCCTGCAGGGACCCCGCCCTTTCCTCTGACTTCTTGTCTGTAACAAGATGCTTGTGTTGATTTGGAATGGGAGCCAGACACTGGGTGCTTCCCTGACATTTGCTGGTCTCTGGCTAAGAGGTTGAGGGAGCCCACACCTTAAAGCAAAAGAAGAGCAGTACAGAAGCAACTTTTTAAAAAATATGCCCAGTTGAGAGATCTGCCTCTGCCTACATCCTTCCGTGGGGTGTATGCCATCCTCCTGCTTTTCCATGTCACACTGAAAAAGTGCTATTAATGGAGAGGATGGAGACAATGATGATTTATTTAGGGAGTGTGCATCCCAACACTGACACACTGAGGAGAATCCTTCTGGAGCTTGTATCTCACAGAATGCCTGCCTCTGCATCACAATGCAAACTCACCATTTACTTTCAAAGAAAATGGAAACAGATCCAGAAAGCCCCAATGAGCTGTTCCATTTAAGAAGAGAGGGAGTTTAAATCACAGTAACTCAAAACATCATTTCTGGGTTTATTGTGGGCCCAGGAATAACAGAACAGGTTTTTCTACCTGTACCAGGGCCACGGTCTCCAAAAGATTTGCAATCCACTCTTAAATTTTGGGGTGCTGGGGGGCAGGTCATGTGTGTATTGGTTGTGAGAGGGGCACAATACTGCATGCTTTTTAGAGTATACTCTCATGGCCCATCCAAGGCTTACCACTAGGCATGTTACCCAATTCTTTAACATCCACGATGATGAACAGATGTTAGCTCTACACTCTGAGGTTTCAATGTCCATCATGATGATCCGTGAGAAGGAACTTATTTCCTCTGCAGCACAAGTTGAGGTGTCTGGATGACAACCAATGATATTAAGAGATGTTGTGGACATGATGCCAGTCTGGCCTTTCCTGGGCCCATTGAAAGGATTAGGCAGATGTTTAGGGCCAGCCCTCACCCAGCACAAAGCCACAAAAGATCCTTATGCTTCTTCTGGCCTGACTAGGTCAGAGCCTACTAAGGGTTACAGACATTGAGGAGAAGCAAAACAAGCAATAAAAACAAATCACAGTACAGTACACTGAGAAATCACACATGTGTTCATATGCACAGCCACTCGAGAATCGCAAACACCTACACTGAGAGAAGACACCGGGATTAACGTGCTTTGCTCATATCTGTTCATCAAACCAAAAACGTTATCGTGCATAACATAATTGGAAATTAGGCCGGGCGCGTGGTGGCTCAACGCCTGCAATCCCAGCACTTTGGGAGGCCGAGGTGGGCGGATCACAAGGTCAGGAGATGGAGACCATCCTGGCTAACAAGGTGAAACCCCGACTCTACTAAAAATACAAAAAAATTAGCCGGTCATGGCAGCCTGCGCCTGTAGTCCCAGCTAAGTAGGAGGCTGAGGCAGGAGAATGGAGTAAACCCGGGAAGGAGAGCTTGCAGTGAGCCGAGGTCGCGCCACTGCACTCCAGCCTGGGACACAGAGCGAGACTCCGTCTCAAAATAAATAAATAAATAAATAAAAATAAAGTTAACAGTAACATTTCAGGTCAGGGGCTAGGGGAGGGATAGCATTGGGAGAAATACCTAATGTAAAGGACGAGTTGATGGGTGTGGCAAACCAACATGGTACATGTATACCTATGTAACAAACCTGCACGTTGTGCACATGTACCCTAGAACTTAAAGTATAATAATACAAAAAAATAAAAAGAAAAAAAGAAAAAAAACCTGTAACACTTCATACTACCACAGGGTTGTGATATGCAAATTTAAAATATGTAAACAGAAAGCTTTACAAAATAATCCTATTACATAAGCATTATTCACATAGAATTATACAAGTAAATTACACAATATATACATTTTTTATTTTATTATTTTCTTTTTTGAGAGGGAGTCTTGCTCTGTCACCCAGGCTGGAGTGCAGCGGTGCAATCTTGGCTCACTG